CTTTTTTGTATTCTTCTCTACTTTCACTCATTTTTGAAAGGAATTTAATACTCTATAGAGTGTTGTATTCATAAAATGCTAGACTACAAGTACCAATTTACAGAGTGTAATATTATTGTGTTTTAGGGAAGTTATATATTTTTTTTCACCTGTACAATACTTTTGTCATATACTGTATGTAACTATGTCTTAATATGTCTGTTACTAATATGTATCATTCTATGTTAACACTTACTATCTCTTGTGAATGAACTTTGAGCTGTAGAAGCTTAAAGATACAAGTTCTAGTAGCTCTAGACAACCTAGTGTATTTTATGTTGTCCTTTCTGATTAGATACAAGTATTCTAAAACATATGTTTCTAGAATGACAGAGGAATCAAAATATAATTTGATTTTGACTTTACACTTATAACTAATCCTCTTAGACTTAATAGTATACTTCTAATCCTTATTCCTCTTCTTTTTATACCCTTTCACCCCTCTAGTACTGTTCCTACTATATACAAACTTTATACACTTACAAAACCTTAGATCTTTAGTAGTAGAGGCCTTTCTTTTAGTAACTCAGAGTTTAATACACTTACTCTCCTCCTCAGCTTTTAGCCAAGTGTCAAATTCCTTCCTATTCACCTATCTCATATTAAAGTCCATATTTTCAAGGTCTTATTTGAGTGATTCATACTAAGGAATTAGTGTGGTAGAAAGTAGAGCTAGAGTAGATAATACAGGAAAGGAGAAGAAAGTACTATAAGATCCTGTCTCCAAACTTTTAGTACTTGTAGCTAGTATTTCTAACACTCTAGAGTTGTCAGAGGAGGTTATAATAGCTTAGTATAGTTAATCTACACACAATACATACAAAAATTGTATTATTCTGTTTGTTCTAGTTACCTTACACTTGTATGTAACTATTAGAATGTTTAAATTTTGTTTTAGAAAGGTATGATCTACAATTACTATTTTATCAAATTATATAATCATTCTAGTATTACATTACTTAGAGCTGTCCCTAATTAGACTGTAGGATTCAGAGTCTAAATATAGAAAATCAAAGGTTAATAAAGGTTATATAAATTAGAAGTATTTAGAAGGCTTACTTATTAGTCTAAATAAGTATTCTATTAGGAACCTAGAATCTACTTTTATTAATACAAGTATTTATCTTTGTAATTCAAGCTTTATACATAAGTATGTATATACTTATAGTAATTGTATTTTGTCTTGTATAAGACTCATTATTGTTTTACTATTACTGTAATTGTAAACTTACTATATAACTTACTATAGTTCTAAGAGTTCTGAGAGTTCTGTTCTAGAACTCTCTTGTGTAGTCTTAGGCTACACATACATTTCCTAATTCTAAGTCATACATATAGTCTCCTTTTTCACTTATATTATACATTCCTTTAGTCTGAGCCACTTTCCTTTCTTCTCTAGTATATAAAGCTTATGTTTACACTTTTGTTACACTAGTTCTTATTTACTAACTGTAACAAAGGTGTGTCTTATTATATATAATTAGTTCTTATTTACTAACTGTAACAAAGATACCTTTGTCCTGTTAGTCCTTGTGTGTTCTACAATCTTTGAGCTTAGTGTTTAGTACTCTACTAGTACTGTTCTACTTTTTTTTAACATTAACAAAGTAGTCTTTATTATAGTATATGTTAGTAAGGTTCTACTAGCCTTCCTAAACACCTTTCTACTGTTAGTAAGGTTCCAACCTTTCTAAACACAATTCTAACATTAGTAAGACTATTCTACCTTTCTAAACAATTGTTAAGCTTTTACAGTCTTACTATAACTATTACTTACAGCTCTAAAATGAGTTCTGTCTGTGTTCTAAATACTTATAACTTAGTCCTAAAGTCCTTAGTACTAAATAGTGTTTAACACAGTTGTAACTATACTACTCTTTGTTAGAGATACAGTTGACAGTTCTCTTATTCCTTTACTAGTATCTATTAGTCCTAGTTCTAGTAAGGAGAGTAGCTTATAAGATTTAGAGTCAGATAGTAATAATAGTAAGTTACTTAATCTAAGCTACTTATTTAGAAAAATGTTCTACACTATACTAACTATGACTCAAGTAGTTTAAGACAATATAATAAAGCCCTCTACACTAATACTAGGTGATTCAACACTATTAGTCCTCCAGTTATAAATATTAGTATTCTGAGAGTATGTAACTATAAAAGTAATTAATTCAGCTTAAACTGTTCTGATTATAATAGAATACTACTAAGACAGCTGTCTATACTAATAGTACAAATATGGACAGACTTAGCTTAAGTTTATTACTCTAAACAAGTTCTATAGAGAGCTTTAAAGTAAGATACTCTTAACAAACTAGGTTGAGTAGACTTAGAACAAGCTTCTCTCTACTAGACAGGAGAACTGAGACTTTTAAGAATAACAGTTAGAAGTAACTAGAATCAACTTTAGTCTCTCAGAACTATGTTACCTTTTGTTAGAATACTTTTATAAACTTTTAGAGACTAACTTACACTTAGACTTATAGTTTAAGTTATACTTGTACTTGACTATACTAATTCTAAACTATACTAAACAGTCTACTATATAGATTAAGAAGGCTTAACTAGTAGGTATAGTAAATGTATAGTTAGAGAATCTGTTAGATCATTTTTTGACTCCTCCCCCTGTTCTGAGTAAGGAATCAGTCTCTCAAACCTGTTTATAATAGTAGCTAGAGTATATATATAAGTTATCTAAGTAGTAGACAGTTAAGTGTATAAAGTTCTAGAGTAGTATAGAAGTAGTTCTTAGAGCTAAGTAGGCCTAAAAGAAGGAACAGAAGAAGGCACATATTAAGAAGTCTACCCTTTTAGAACCTAGTCAGAAGTTAGTTCTAGTACTAAAATAAACACACTCTACCTTTCTCTAGTAGAACACTAACTACTAATAAAGTACTAAGAGTGTTTCTATTACTACAAGCTGTTTGTAAATTATAAAACTGATAAATGCCTAACAGGCTTACTAAAGTCTGAGAAAGTTGTTCTGATTATAGAAGTATATATTTAATCTATGTATTTAAAGTAAGTAATAGCTCTAACAGTAGTTAAAGAGTTTATAGTTCTTAAACTCTCTAAGGAAGAAACTATTAAGTATATCTTACTCTCTCAATCCCTTATAATCTCTAAATACTAGCTCCTTACACAACACAACTCTTTACCTACTTATGTCTAACTTATAATTAATACTAGTTGTACTATAGTGTTGATTGACAGAGTACTAGTATTCTAAATGAGTCTAAAGTACTTTCTACTTAAAATTCCCTTTACTATAACACTAGTAATTAAGTTAGACAGGAGTTCTGAAACTTGGGTAACAGAATAGGTAAAGTTATAAGTATAATCTACAGACAGAGAGTAAATGTCTAAAGTTGTAAAGGCTTGTATAGTTAATAATCTATATAATAAAATAATTCTTAGAAACTTATTTATATAAACAAACTGTTTAGTAATTAATATAAAAGGACAGACAGTAGTACAGAAGAGATCTGAATACAACCTGATAAAGACTTGTAAGGACCAGACTATAGAACAGGTCCTAGAACACACTCTAGAACTGGCTTTAAAACAAGTAAAAGTCTTAAGTAACAATCTTAAGAGTAAGCTCTTACTAGTATTGTCAGCAACAGTGTAGAGGGGACCTAAAGGCTTAGTAAGGGGACCTAGGTTA